AAATCTTCTATTGGCTAACTTTTATTGAATTATTTAACCAAACCAAACCTTAAGTCCCATCAAATGGGGTCGGCTACATGAATCCTTCTTCTCCACACGGCCCTATCAAAGGCCATTTCATTAGTCAAATTAAGTAGATTCATATCTCTATTTATAACGCTAGTCAACGTTAATTTAGGCCTACTCCGTCCCCTAATACTCCCATCTACCGTTACAGTATCGCATCTCTTCACTACTGCCTCTGTTGGTCTCCATTGAATATGACCAAACCATCTCAAACGATTCTCTCTCAACTTATCTTCTATCGGTGCTACTCCTACCCATCCCCGAATACACTCATTCCTAATCTTGTTTTGTCTAGTCTTACCACACATCTACCTTAGCATCCTCATCTCAGCCACACTCATCTTATCTACATGTTGTTTCTTGGTTGCCCAACACTCCGTCCCATACAACATAGCTGGTCTAATAGCCGTTCTATAAAACTTACCTTTTAGTCTAGTGGGTATTCGTTTATCGCATAATACTCCAGACGCGCTTCTCCACTTACACCATCTCGCCTTAATCCTATGGGTCACATCTGCATCAATCTCTCCCGCTATTGTGATAATCGACCCTAAATAATGAAATATTCACTCTTAGGCAGTTCTTGGTTCTCAATCTTCACTGCTCCTCTGCTTTCATTATTACTGTTACTAAATTTACACTCCATGTATTCTGTCTTATTTTTTTAAAAAAAAATCTTCTTATGCCTTGATTTACACATTTCAAAAGAAAAGTTAATTAATCCATTTGTAAATTTAAATTTAGAAATTTGAAAAAGAAAGTTAAATAATCAATTTTAAAATTGAAAAAAAATCTTTTTACATCTTGATTTACATATTTCAAAAGGGAATTTAATTAATCTATTTATAAATTTAAATTTAGGAACTTGAAAGGGAAAGTTAAGCAATCAATTTTAAAATTTCAAAAAAGAATAATCTTATTATGCCTTAATTTACGTATTACAAAAGGAAAGTTAATAAATCGATTTATAAATTTAAATTTAGAAATTTGGAAAGGAAAGTTAAGTAATCACTTTTAAAACTTTAAAAATAAATAAATAACTAAATAAAGAAATCTTATTACGGCGTGATTTACATATTTCAAAAGGAAAGTTAATTAATCCATTTATAAATTTAAATTTAGAAATTTGAAAAGGAAAGTTAACAAATCAATTTTAAATTTTTTTTTTAAAAAATTCTTCTAACTATTGTTGAATATTTTAGAAAAAAATTATTATGCCTTGATTTACACATTTCAAAAGAAAAGTTAATTAATCCATTTTTGCATTTAAATTTAGAAACTTGAAAAGGAAAGTTAAGTAATCAATTTTAAAATTTTAAAAAAAATTATCTTATTATGCCTTAATTTACATATTTCACAAGGAAAGTTAATTAATCTATTTATAGATTTAAATTTAGAAATTTGAAAAGGAAAGTTAAGTAATCACTTTGAAAACGTTAAAAAACATAAAAAATAAATAAAAAAAATCTTATTATGGCCTGATCTACACATTTCGAAAGGAAAGTTAATTAATCCATATATACATTTAAATTTAAAAATTTGAAAAGGAAAGTTAACTATTCAATTTTAAAATTTTAAAAAAAATGTGCTAACTATTGTTGAATATTTTTTAAAAAATTATTTTGCCTTGATTTACACATTTCAAAAGAAAAGTTAATTAATCCACTTCTAAAAAGAAGGTTAACTAATCAATTTTAACATTAAAAAAAAATCTTTTTACATCTTGATTTACAAATTTCAGAAGGAAATTTAATTAATCTATTTATAAATTTAAATTTAGAAACTTGAAAAGGAAAGTTAAGTAATAAATTTTAAAATTTAAAAAAAATAATCATATTATGCCTTAATTTACACATTTCAAAAGGAAAGTTAATTAATCCATTTATAAATTTAAATTTAGAAATTTGAAAAGGAAAGTTAAGTAATCACTTTTAAAATGGTTAAAAAAAAAAAAATCTTATTATGGCTTGATTTACACATTTGAAAAGGAAAGTTAATTAATCCATTTGTAAATTTAAATTTAGAAATTTGCAAAAGGAAAGTTTACTAATCAATTTTAAAATTAAAAAAAAAAATCTTCTAACTATTGTTGAATATTTTTTAAAAAATTTATTATGCCTTGATTTACACATTTCAAAAGAAAAGTTAATTAATCCATTTCTATATTTAAATTTAGAAATTTGAAAAATAAAGTTAACTAATCAATTTTAAAATTAAAAAAAAAATCTTTTTACATCTTGATTTACATATTTCTAAAGGAAATTTGATTAATCTATTTATAAATTTAAATTTAGAAACTTGAAAATGAAAGTTAAGTAATCAATTTTAAAATTTTTTAAAAAAGTAATCATATTATGCCTTAATTTAGACATTTCAAAAGGAAAGTTAATTGATCCATTTATAGATTTAAATTTAGAAATTTGAAAACTAAAGTTAACTTATCAACTTTAAAATAAAAAATAAAAAAAAATTCTTCTAACATTTGTTGAATATTTTTTTAAAAATTACTATGCCTTGATTTACACATTTCAAAAGAATAGCTAATTAATCCATTTCTAAATTTAAATTTAGAAATTTGAAAAAGAAAGTTAACTAATCAATTTTAAAAATTTTTAAAAAATAAAATCGTTTTTCATCTTGATTTACATATTTCAAAAGGAAATTTAATTAATCTATTTATAAATTTAAATTTAGAAACTTCAAAAGGAAAGTTAAGTAATCAATTTTAAAATTTTAAAAAAAAATTCTTATTATGCCTTAATTTACATATTTCAAAAGGAAAGTTAATTAATCTATTTATAAATTAAATTTAGAAATTTGAAAAGGAAAGCTAAGTATTCACTTAAAAAAAAAATCTTATTATGGCTTGATTTACCCATTTTAAACGGAAAGTTAATTAATCCATTTATAAATTTAAATTTAGAAATTTGAAAAGGAAAGTTTACTCATCAATTTTAAATTTTAAAAACAAAAAATCTTCTAACTATTGTTGAATATTTTTAAAAAAATTATTATGCCTTAATTTACACATTTCAAAAAGAAAGTTAATTAATCCATTTCTAATTTTAAATTTAGAAATTTCAAAAGGATCAGTTTTAAAATTTAAATTTTTATATTACTAAAATATAAAAATCAATTCACATCTTCCATAATTTATTACTCTTAATGTTTAATTTTTTAAATATTTAAAAAATCTTTTATTGATTTGCTTTTATCCCCTTATAATGTCCCCCACCAAATATTATATAGAATTTTTTAGATGGTGTATATCAATATAATAATGGATCCAAAACTCATTTCAAACAATGATAATGTGTTTGGTTGAGAAAATGAAATCGGGTATGGAATTGGATAAAATATAGGAAAAATGCTATGGATTCTAAATGTTTTTTTACCAACATTTCTTCCAAATGTCTCATACGAGTATGAGACCCACACCATGTGAGTTCCATATGGGTCTCATACTCATGTGAGACATTTAATAGAAATGTTGGTAAAATATTTGAGATCCCTAACATTACTCTAAATATAATTATATTTTATTCACATTTCACCTATCTTTTTCCTTTTTCATTCCAAATTTCTATCCAAATCTGTGAATCAAAAATAACATAAAGTTGAGTATATAGTTTTCATATTAAAAATTTTGAATTAATATTACTTTTTAAAATTGTGTATTAAAAATAAAAGATTTTTCAAATATTTAAAAAATTAAACATCAAGAGAAATAAAATATGGAAGATGTGAATTGATTCTTATATTTTAGTGGTACAAAAATCTAAATTTTGAGACTGATCTTTTTCAAATTTCTAAATCTAAAATTTTAAATAGATTAATTAACTTTCTTTTTGAAATGTGCAAATCAATGCATAATAAAAAATAATAAAAAAATTAAATGATTCAATAAAAGTTATAAGATTTTTTAAAAAAAATTTAAAACTGATTAGTTAACTTTTCTTTTTAAATTTCTAAATTTAAAATTTAGAAATGAATTAATCAACTTTCCTTTTAAAATGTGTAAATCAAACCATAAAAAAAATTAAGTATTCTATAAAAGCTAGAAGATTTGTTTTTTAAAATTTTAAAACTGATTAATTAACTTTCCTTTTCAAATTTTTAAATTTAAATTTATGAATGGATTAGTTAAATTTCCTTTTTAAAATGTGTAAATCACGGCATAATAAGATTTTTTTTGTTAAATTCTAAAACTGATTAGTTAACTTTCCTGTTCAAATTTCTAAATTTAAATTTATGAATGGATTAATTAAATTTCCTTTTTAAAATGTGTAAATCAAGGCATAATAAGATTTTTTTGTTAAATTCTAAAACTGATTAGTAAACTTTCCTGTTCAGATTTCTAAATTTAAATTTGTAAATGGATTAAATAATTTTCCATTTAAAATTGTAAATCAATGCATAATAATTTTTTTTAATAATTCAATAAATGTTAGCGAATAAAATATTTTTTAATTATTTAAAAATTAAAAATTCAAGAAAAATAATATGAGGATTTTGAGTTACACAAAACTTTTTCCATTAGAAACCCTTTTTCCTTAATAGTTAGTATAAATTGTATAATTTTTTTTTTTAAAAATTATTTTGAAGTAGACACATGGTAACTATTTATGAAATGCTATTAATTTCATAAAGATCACATTTAAAAAAAAAAAATTAAAGCGAGTGTCAAGTTCAGATTATGCGCATTTCGACTAATCTCAACAAAAAACATCCCATTACCCACTTGGAGGGATCTCATTTAAGGCCCCAAGAAGCTATCTGTATGTCTATCTATCTATCTATCTATCTATATAAGAAGAGATTGAAGATAATTGCATAAGAAGTGTCTCTAAAGAGAGGTTAGTGTGAGTGAGGAGAGACAATGGAATTTGCCATGAGGTATGTTATCACTCTTACTTTGTTGTTCTTTGTTGCAGGTCACCATCCAGATTCTGAGATTAAGAGACTTGTTCCAACAGGACCAAACAACCAAACACACCCTTCTCCTCCTCCTCGTGATAAAACTTCCCCTACAACTGCTGAGATTAAGAGACTTGTTCCAACAGGACCGAACAACCAAACACACCCTTCTCCTCCTCCTCATGATAAAACTTCTCCTGCAACTCTTGAGATTAAGAGACTTGTTCCAACAGGACCAAACAACCAAACACATCCTTCTCCTCCTCCTCATGATAAAACTTCTCCTGCAACTCTTGAGATTAAGAGACTTGTTCCAACAGGGCCAAACAACCAAACACACCCTTCTCCACCTCCTCATGATAAAACTTCTCCTACAACTCCTGAGATTAAGAGACTTGTTCCAACAGGACCAAACAACCAAACACACCCATCTCCTCCTCCTCATGATTCAAAAGGCAATCTTGCATCGTGGTATTTTGAGATTAAAAGGCGTGTTCCTGATGGCCCAAACAATAAAACTTCCCCTCCAAGTCCTGGCTCCCCCCCAAATCCTGGCTCTCTTCCTAATCCTAGAGACCCTAAATAAGTAAGTATCTTGTCCTTTGGTTAAAGGCTCTCTTGTCGGAGTCAAGAAATTTTGAAGTGAAGAGGCTTGTTCTAATCACACCTCAGCCTTCAAATGTAACCTCTAGTTTGTGCTATCTATGTATAGAAAATATCAATAAATGGGAAATGATTGTTACAATGAGTTGGTTTCTTGTTATAACAATTGAGGTAGCTCTGTTTTAAATATATAAATCAAGCAAAACAAAAGCACATAATTCACATAAATGAAAGAAAAATTAGACAAAATGGTCTTGAAAGTATGTGCTTTGTTGCGTTTATAGCAAAGTATGCATTTTGTTGCATTTTAATATCCATATCTAATCGTTAAAAAGTTCTGAAAGTACCTAGCTCTCTCATTAATCAATTTGAACAGTGCAAGTGATGGAACCATTTAAATTGACATTTTATAATTTAAATATTAAAATAACAATTATTTATATTTTTTATAAAATAATCAAAATGCAAAATGTTGTATACGTTAAAGATCATTTATTAAGTTTTGTGATTCACCTCACGAGTCATCTCGCTCGATCATTATAGCAAATACAACTCGTCTAAAGGCTTTAAATCGAAGTTTTATTTAGGGGCCTCAAAACTTAGGGAGTTTCTATTTTTACATATCATTTCTATTATGTGTACACACTTCATGAGAAACGTTTCTTTTTTTACAATTATAACTTTAATGAAATTACTAATATAGACATCAATACACACGCTTCACTTGAAATTGTAGTTTTCTCACTACATATTTTTTGAAAAAGTAAAAAGCTACTAAACATCCATTACAAATAAATATATAATAAAAGAAATGGAAAAAGCAAAAGAAAAAAACACTAAACCTTACTTCTCTACTCTATGTTTTTTTTTTTTTTCTCACTCACTCTATTATCATATTTTCTAATCCGTTGTTACCTTACCTTAGTTAATATATTGTGGACTTACTAAAAATTGTTACATTGAATAATTCTGCCTTCTCAAACCCTCATTAGTTTCGATTTTTCCGCCTCATTCAAATCCAACTCTCATCCTCATTGTTCATTGGTATTGAAGATTTGCATGATAAAAACTCATATTTTAAGACGAATGTCATCGTTTATGACAAAGTTAGCAAAGAAAAAATAACTATCGTTCGATAGTAGTCCTCCCAAAAAAGTAAATTTAAGTCAGAAGTATAGGTTTAAACAAATATTTTTTTTTTGGAAGTTTAGTTTTGAAACAACTACAGTATTCCTATTTGAAAGTACAAGTTCAAACAAATAAAAATTGTTTGGCAATAGTCATTCAAAAAAAATTTATTTAGAAAGTAAATGTCTAATTTTTCTTTTTTAATATTTTGGTTTGGAAGTTGAAATTCAAATGAAAGAGAATTGTTCCATTTACTACTTCTAAACCATGGATTCTCATTCAAAAACTAGTGTTAGCTATATCACAACCTTCAAATCATTACCAAACAATGAAAAAATGTTTAAAATTGGTAAAAACAATTAAATATTAGCATGAATTTATAAAAATATATTAACTATTAACACGTTTTAGTAAATATTCATGAAATCTTAACTTTAAACAATGGAGGTAGGGCTGGCTTTGGCCCAAAGACCGCCGCTTTGAGCCTCTAAAAATTGAGCACAAAACAAAGCCCAAATTTTTTTTTAACTATTATTCTACTCCACAAAAAAATCTACCTAAATTTGAAAGCCCTAAGAAAATTTTGTGAAAATTCAAAAAGGCATAAAAGGATGATAAATGCTGTCATACGAGCATGATTTAGGGACTAAAATATCATAAGAAGTGACTCCAAATCATTTAAACAACCTAACCAAAGCATGCTAATGACTCATTCGCTCAAGGCCAAAGTTCTAGAATGCAAAGAAGCTATGCAAAACACGACGAACATGACAAAAACAGTGGCCAACAGACCTAAAGCATGACAAATCATGACCAAAAGCTTCAATAAGCTAAGCCAAATCATGAAGATATACTAGGCTAAACACATGGCACATTTCTAGGCAAGATAAGGAATTACAAAGCAAGTACAAGATGCATGCTAAGGGCTACAAATCCGACCAAAGACAGAGATATAACATGACTAATAGGCACCCAAAAACCTCTGAGATGGGACCAAAAACAACCAAGCATGCATGTTGCCCTTTTAAGCCAAAACAAAGGTAAAAGAAGGACAAAGGGGAGAGGGGTGTCCCTCCCCTACACAAGACTTCAAAATCACTCCATCACCACTAAAAATCCACTGGATTTCAGTGGTAAAAATATATTAACTATTAACACGTTTTAGTAAATATTCAGGAAATCTTAACTTTAAACAATGGAGGTAGGGCTAGCTTTGGCCCAAAGACCGCCGCTTTGGGCCTCTAAAAATTGAGCACAAAACAAAGCCCAATTTTTTTTTTTTTTAACTATTATTCTACTCCACAAAAAAATCTACCTAAATTTGAAAGCCCTAAGAAAATTTTGTGAAAATTCAAAACTAATAAATTGTTGATTGGTAAATTATTTAAAATAAATGGATGGTTATCTTTATTGGCCAAAATTAAAAAGTCAATTGATATAGTGAATTATTAAATTAATGGATGGTTTGTTTCTTAAGTGCATGGATTACGTATAGAACGTGATTAATTATACCAATTACAGTTGTTTATAAGAAAATAAACTTTTCAAATTTAAAGGTAATTAAAGCTTACATTCGATCAATTATGTCACGAGAAATATTAATATATTAACAACTTCATTCATTGAAAATGATTTAGTTAATTGGTTGAATTATGCAAATTCAATTAGTAATTTTGTAGTTAAAAATACAAGTGAAAATTCTAGTTTTATCAAAAAAACCTTTTGAAAATCAAGATTTGTCTCGTGATAAGTGATTGTTGATTTAGATAATCTAAATTAAAAATTATACTACCATGATCAATGTAGATAAAATAGAGAAAGAGATAATCATCCACAACATAAAAGACTTTTTATATTGAAAAATCACAATTGGAATCCACCAACTTGTGATAAAAAACCACAGACCATCGGCCAAGCGAACAATCCACTATGAAAGAAAAGAATACAAGAGATATCTTACAAAGGCCACTCTGGACTCACGCGTTTGTTTAACCTACGAGTCACTTTTCTTCCCTCACTAGATCTCTGCAATGGATGCCGAATCACCATGACACCAATGACTTCGGAATCCACCGAAGTTACAATCTTGGAATCCACCAAGAAGGTTCACAATTGAATAATTGTTATGTTTTGTTTAATATGGATTGTGTAAATGTATTAATTGCTAAAAAAGAGAGTTAACCATGATATTGGGATTGTTTTGGGCTAATTATGTTGTGTTGAGTTAAGTTAGGTTATGGTTTTGATATCCATGTATTTGGTATTGTGAAATGAAGGCAATGGATTTTTGGATAAAGACTGGAGTATTGTAACTTGGATAATAAGGAAATTGATTTTGGAAAGAAAATGAAATCATAACTCTTAGTAAGTTAAGAATGAATATGAGAATCATTGTATTACGTGTATTAAATACATATGTTTAGAGGTTTTGTCATTGGTCATCGGTGATGGATGACACTGTTGTGTTGAATAGATTATGTAGCACTCCGGGTTTTCTTCATCGCTTGAGCTATGGATTAGTCACTCGAGCGGTCTTTTGAGTCTTCTAGTACTTTTGCAGGTCTGTGATTCTGAGTGTTGTTGATGTTCACTTGAGCGCAAGTTTGATCTCTTAAGCGATTTGCCTTGTGTGGTCAGAACTTTTGAGAGTTTGCATTCTTCGCTAGAGCATAAGTTTCATCGCTCAAGCAGTCTGTCCGAATACAACAGCTATAAAAGTCATTTTTTGTCACTTTTGGGTCACTTCTCTCTCTCTCTCTCTCTCTCTCTCTCTCTCTCTCTCTCTCTCTCTCCTTCATCCATTTTTGAGCTCCCAAGCTCTTCATACTTGGTTTTCATCTACTTCTACCCATCTTTGACTCACAGTCCTTTAGACCAAAATGTAGAGGGTCGCGAGTGCTACATTTTAATTTGAGCGGATCGTGTTTTTGTTGCCATGGATTTTTTGACTTTCTCTTCACCCCTTCAAAAGGTAGGGATTCCTTTGTTCCTCTTCAGTACCTCATCTATAGATAGACATGTGGTAGATTTTATTGTGTAAAATGCATGTTTATGAGGAGTTTCCAAAAAGCATGTAAAGGGGATCTAGGGTTGGAAATGTTTGGGTTGAAATTGTAAAATTGATTGTAGTTTGGGTTAATTGGGAAGTAGTCTAGGAAGAGAAAGCCCTAATTTAATAATTTGACCTAATGAATTAAAAAGGGGTAAAGTTGAATAATGTTTGCGTTTTGTTAATATTGAGTTGTGTTATTGTGTTAATAGCATAAAGAGAGAATCAACGTTGGTAATGGAATTTATTTGGATTAATCATATTGAGTTGAGTTAGGTTATGGCTTGAAATCCATGGATGTGATTTATTGAAATATGGAAATTAGCTTTGGAAGAAAATGATTTGGGCATGTTAACTTGGAAAATAAAGAGTTGATTTTGAAAAGAGAAAGGAACCATGGCGTGTTGTAAATTTAGAATTGAACTTGAGGTTGGATTTTGAAACTTTTGAATATTGTTATTATCATTGTTGTTGGACTTAAGGTCAACTGAGCATCAGATTATCGTATTAGTGTGTTTAAATATTTATGCTTAGAGGTTTCGCCCTTAGTCATTGTGGAGGATGACATTGTGATGTTGAATAGATTATGTGTATGTAGTACACTCGGGTTATTTATGTTTGTTGAATTATGTGATGGTTGGAAATGTGCATGCGCTGAGAATAAGGGGTACCATTGTTTTCCAACTAGCGCTTGGAGAATTAGTTGTGCTGAGAATATGAGGTACCAGTACCTTCCAGCTAGCGCCTGGAGAACCTGGCAGAGGTACCATTACCTTCCAGTGGGTGTCTGGTAAATTGGAAGAGGT